GCCTATTGAAACTGTCAAAGAAATGTTTACAAGGTTTACTCAAATTGTAAACAAACTTGATTCTCTTGGAAAGATATTCACAAATGAAGAGAAGGTTAGGAAGATACTTCGATGTCTTCCAAAATCAAAATGGGGACCAAAGGTGACCGCAATTAGAGAAGCTCAAAATTTGAGAACTCTATCTGTAGACGATCTTCTTGGGAAATTAATTACCCATGAGATGTCTCTGAATGAAGAAAATGGAGAGCTTGCCTCCTCTACTAAAAGGCTAGCTCTCAAAGCCAAAAAGGAAGATGTCTCTACTGATGATGAAGAATCTGATAATGATGGAGATGATGAAGATCCTTTTGCTCTTATTGCTAGAAGCCTTGCAAAGATTCTCAAAATGAAGAAAAAGTTTCCTAGAAGCAAGGACAACAATCGGCCACAGAAATACAAGGGCAAATCATTCAACAAAGTCAACACCTTGAAATGCTATGAATGCGGAGATGATGATCATCTGGTGAAGGATTGCCCCAAAAGAAGAAAAAGGCAATCAGGCAAAAAAGAGATTATAAGAAGAAAGCCATGGTCGCCTCATGGAGTGACTCAAATTCAAACGATTCCGATGAAGAACAAGCTAATCTATGTCTTATGGCGGATCACGATGAATCAAAAGATAAGCATCTCCAGGTAACCCGTAAACAACTTAATCTCTAGTCCTACTGATGTTCTTTCTGAATTTTTACGTAACATGATTGTTATTGAAGAAAGCTTAATTATCCAAAATTCTTAAAGAAAAGCTGAGCAAACAAATAAGCATCTCTCACAATTTGGCTAAGGAATTAGCTGACCTCAAAGAAGCCCAGTCCACTTTTAAAAACAAGGTCAAGACCTCAGAGTCAGCTTTTAAGGCCTTGAAAACTGAAAATACTGCTTTAAAGCGTAAGCTTACCTCTCTAAGTTATTATAACAATAAACTGGAGAAAGAAAAGAAAACTTTCACTGGGAAATGCATAGAGCAGCATAATTCCTTCGTTAGATTCACTCAGTCAGAAGCAGCACTTGATAAGATGTTGGGTGTACACCAATCATCCTTAAATAAGAGTGGTCTTGGATACAACAAAAAATTTCCTAAGAAAAACCCGACCAATTTTGTAAAAGCTAAGGATAATTGGCGAACTCCCACATGTTTCTACTGTTGCAAGAAGGGTCATACTAAGTTAACATGTCCTTTTAGAAGAAATTACCATCATATTGTTAAGAATTCTTTTCCTGTTTATCTTCGAGACCAAATCAAGAAAATATGGGTTGTTAAAGGAACCAGACCACCAAACATGGTCCATCCTGACCATGACTCGAAATTTGCAGTTTGGTCTAGAAAGGTTTGATGTTCTTTTATTTTGCAAAACAATATGAAAGATCATAGATGGATTCTTGACAGTGGATGTTCTCGGCATATGAGTGGAAAATCTTCCCTATTTTCAAAGATTAAAGAGCATCCTCGTGGAACCATCACCCTTGGTGACAAGAAGAAATGCAACATTATTGGTTTTGGTAACATTGGTGATAATGCTATAAATTTTATTGACATGTGTATCTGTTGAAGGTTTAAAGTACAACTTGCTTAGCATCTCTCGGCTTTGTGACAAAGGAAATAAGGTAATATTCGATGAAGAAAAATGTTAGGTGCAATGTAAGAAGGACGGTAAAACTATTCTAACTGCTCCTCGTCAAAATAATGTGTATACTTTTTATTCTAACCAATGTGAAAGCACCAATCTGGAATGTCTCAATGCCTTGACTGAAGACCCAAGGCTTTGGCAAAGAAGACTTGGTCATATTAACATGCATACTTTGAAAAAGCTTTCTATAAAGGATTTAGTACGTGGACTTCCTAAGCTGAATTTCAGGGATAAAGGTTTGTGTAAAGCCTATACTAGAGGTAAACAAACCAGAGGCTCATTCAAGACAAAAAAGGTTGTAAGTACTTCTCGACTTTTAGAGCTTCTACACATAGATTTATGTGGTCCTATGCGTGTCAAATCTCCTAAGGGAAAACAGTACATCCTTGTTGTTGTTGATGATTTTTCACGATTTACTTGGGTTTCCTTTTTAAGAGAAAAATTTGAAGCTTTACTTGAATTTTCAAAGATTTGCAAAGAGTTACAAACTCAGAAAAACCTATCCATTGTCGCTGTAAGAAGTGATCATGGTAGATAATTTGATCAACTAAATTTTGAAAACTTTTGTGCAAAATATGTCATTTCCCACAATTTTTCAGCTCCTAGGACACCTCAACAAAATGGAGTTGTGGAACGTATGAACCGCACTCTTGAGGACATGTCCAGGACAATGCTTTTAGAAAACAGTTTACCAAAATATTTTTGGGTAGAAGCTGTGAATACAGCTAACTATGTTTCAAACCATTGCTTAATTCGCCCTATTTTGAAGAAAACTCCTTACGGACTGTTTAAAGGGAAAAGGCCAAATATTTCCTATCTAAAACCATTTGGATGCACTTGCTTTGTCCATAATAATGGCAAAGATAACCTTGGTAAATTTGATGCACGTAATGTTGAAGCAATCTTACGATATTCTTTAAATTCCAAAGCTTACAGAGTCTATAATAAGCGTACTAAAGTTGTTGAGGAAAGTATTCATGTGATTTTTTATGAAACCAAAAAGGGTACTTTGAGTGACAATTTTACAGGTTTGAAGTTGAAAAGGTACAAAGAGCATCTCTCAGAAGAAGAAGATGAAGACAACTCATTTGAAGATGAAGAGAGAAGCCCTACTAAAAACCTCCAGGAACCCATCCTAAACATTGATGAACTAAATCAAAATCCTGAACCTACTTCTCAAAACCTTGACCCTACACTTCAAGACCTTGAAACCCCTCAAGAACCTGATCAAGTTACTTCTGAAATAACCCCAGGCCCCTCAGATCCATCCCAAGGCCTTGAAAGTGTGCTTCAAGAACCCATATCCTCTCCTTTAATTATTCGCAGAAAATTCAAACATGCCTCATCCCATCCTATAGATAACATCATTTCTGACCCAAAGGCTGGTACCCAAACCCGTTCAAACATCAAAAATTTCTGTGTTTTCCATGCTTTTGTTTCCCTTATTGAGCCAAAGAATGTCAAAGAAGCTCTTCAAGAACCAGATTGGATAATGGCCATGCAAAGCGAGCTGAACCAGTTTGAGAGAAATAAAGTCTGGAGACTCTCTCCAAGACCCAAAGATCATTCAGTAATTGGAACCAGATGGGTATTCAGAAACAAGCTTGATGAAAATGGAAAGATCGTGAAGAATAAAGCAAGACTAGTAGCTCAAGGATATAATCAAGAAGAAGGGAATCGATTATGAAGAGACTTTCGCTCCCGTGGCAAGAATGGAAGCTATCAGAATTCTGCTTGCTTTTGCATCTTTCATGAGAATCAAACTCTTTCAAATGGATGTCAAGTGCGCATCTTATCAACTTTGAGATTCAATTCAAAAACTTAAAATTAAACTTTGTAAATAAGGCATATTATAAATTGCAAATTAAAACAAAAATAAAAAACGAGTAAAGTAAAGCAAATAAAAATGAGACATGGCATAGCGATATTTTTACGAAGTTCGGCAATTATGCCTACTTCTCCGGGTTGTCCAACCCGTAGGATTTTAAATCTTTTTATTTATTCCTTTAGAGTCCTAAGCACCTAGAAGATCTCCTATCTTCTTCCCGTAGCCGCCCAGCTACACTTTAGCAACTCAGATCCAAGAAATAAAAAGCTACCTTACTTTTACTATACTTTGAGTATTATAATACTACTCATAGTATATCACTCTTTTGATAACAAAATTTAAGCACTCTTGATATACTTTTCTTTTCTCTCAATCTAACTACAAAACAAAGTATTTGATAAACTAGAGAGAAAGAATTTAACAACTCTTGCTATAGCGAATGAAACTTGATAATTCTTTATGCTTCTTGTGAAGTGCTGCACGCTATTTATAGAGTTAAGATGCTGGATTTCTGAATTTGAATTTTGAAGCAACCGTTGAGTCTTCAACGTTATTTGAATAATTCAGCCTGCGCTATTTTTGGGGCTTCAAAATCAACGTTAATCTTCGGCAAACCTTCCGGCCTACTTCCAAGGGATATCGGTAAACAAACTTTGAAACTCATGCTAATCGGTTAGTCAAAAGATAGATACATGATTTCAAAATAAAATCTTATCCCTTGATTAATGTATTCTGTTAAAACAGAATATTGTTAGAGTATAAAAGATAACTATTAAAAAAATAAAATATCTACCTACTTAAAAGATAAATATAAAATTCAGAAATTGAATGTTAGATAAACTTAGATAAAATATTCCAGCTTAGATAAAATATTCCAGCAGCGCAAAGTTAAGATAAACCGTGGACTTTGGAAATATCAATCTTACATATATTGGGCTTAATAAAATCAAACACATTATAGCAGTCCATAATAAATATAACCTGTTGGGTTTGACTTCCATCATAAAACACAAAGTTAGGTAAAATTAAAGCCCATAAAATAATAAAGTCCATCAAGGTGACAAGGTGGAGTCTTCAAAACAGTACACGTATATGTGCATTAATTCAAACATTACAAGTTACTTTCCTTATACGTGTAGGACGATCAATCTGGAAATTGGTGGCTAACTATCAATGGACATGCCATAGGATATTGGCCATCATCTATATTCACAACCTTAGCAAATGCCGCCGATGGTATTAAGTGGGGCGGAGAGGTTTATCATATACCAACGGCGGTAACAAAAATTCCTTACCTATACTTATTGAGATGATTCTAACAAAATCTCACATATGTTTTTCCTTACCTATACTTCACAAAAGATAATCAAAGAAGGAGCGGTGAATAGTGTAAAAGTCAAAACTGGTCAAGTAAAAAAAAAACGGAGGAAGTACCAACGACGGTAACAAAAATTCGTAACAAAAATAATACGAGTACAAGTGATGCGAATAATAACAATCCTCCACAAATGGGAAATGGACATTTTTCTAGTGAAGGTTATAGAAGATCGTGTAACGTACGTGATATGAAGTACTATGATAAATCTGGATCTGAAATTCGTCCAACTATAAATGAATTATTACCCCTTGTTTCTCAAACATCATGCTATGATCTAAAGATGGAGACTAGGAAGATGGATAGTATTGACCAAATTTTCTTGTTTCTTGGAGGCCCTGGTTGTGCTGATTCGAGTAATCAAGTGTAATATTTTACCCTTTTCTAGTGTTGTAACTCTTATTTTATTTATGTCCTGAAATTACCTATTGTATGCAGAATTGTTGATTAATAAAATAAACTTGATTAATAATTTGTGAGGTTGTTATTATTTTGGATTATTCAAGCTAAGTATATATTCATGCATCCACCACCAAAAAAAATTATAAACTTCAAATGTTGCAATTAAAAATATATATATATATATATATATATATATATATATATATATATATATATATATATATATATATATATATATATATATATATAATACGAATTGAAGTACAAGATACAACATATTCTACTAGCTAGAACTTTATGCAAGCAATGCATTTGTTACAAAATTAAATGCATTATGACCTATATTGTAAATTGACTTTTATTTGATTCAATTAACTTTGTTTGAATGTGTGTGACTTTTATTTGATTCAATTAGCTTTGTTAAATGCATTTGATTTTAATTTTACTCAATTAGTTTTGTTTGAATATGTTTGACTTTCATTTGATTCAATTAGCTTTATTGAATGCATTTGACTTTCATTTTATTCAATTAGTTTTATTTGAATGTATGCATGTATTTGACTTTCATTTGATTCAATTAGCTTTGTTTGAATGTATTTGACTTTCATTTTATACAATTAGCTTTGCTTGAATGTGTTTAACTTTCATTTGATTCAATTAGCTTTGTTAAAAGATTTTTTTTTTTTTTTTTGAAAATTACCCTAACCAAGGAAAAAAGTGATAAATTAAAATTATGTAAATGATTAACAGACTGAAAGGAATTCAACTGTGTAATTTTGTCATCATATAAAATTTTATTAACAACTTTTAAGGTTAAATGATATTTATTTCTCAAAATTATTATTCTTCGTAATTCATTGTATGTAATTGGAAATTTGACATGTCACATGAAAAAACATTCTTAAGATAAGACTTCATCCATATCCATGTTTCTTTTAGTATCAACATATAAGATAAGATGTCAAACATTATCCATATACCAATAATAATTGCAATAGTCGTGATTTGTACCATCATTAACTAAATCTATTGTTTGGAAAGTCAATTCATAATGAACTTATTTGTACGATAATTTGCACTCTTGGGTGTTCGATCTATCAATGTATGTAAGAAAAAAACAATTAAATAAGCAATGACAAAGATATAGAGTGTCCTACTAGATTAGTATCCATGCGATGTATGGTAATAAATCTTTTTCCCATAATTAATTTGTGATATAATATAAAAATGAGGCAACTCATGTGGAATAAGAAAATGCATGCTTATAAAAAAGATGAAACAATAAGGCAAAAAATATTAAAACTACAGTTGAGAAGAAGATATATTATATTTTATTAGTTGCGTTGAAATTATTTAAAAATAATATACATTTTATTACATTAATGATGCATGTTATTTCCAATAAAACTAATGTTGTATGGCTTTTTATTAATGAATTAATTTAGTTCCAAAAAAAAATACTATACAATGTATACATTAAATGTTAATATTGTATTTTTGGCTAAGTAAGTACTTCCAAAAATAAGCTAAGTAGAATTATTTTTTTTTTAAAAAGAACTTAAAATTGACATCATATATTGTATTGGCGGGAAATTTTTTAATGATAGCTTGACATATGTCCAAAATGATCGATGTAAGCATGACCTGTTTTAGTGATAGTTAAATTAATAGATTTTTTGAAGGAAAAAAAAAAGTTATAAGTTGGTAAAATTATTACAGAAATATTTAATAAAAAACTAACTCAATTATTATTATTTCATAAGATTTCAAATCAACACCATGAATAGATTATTGTTTTTTCCATTGAACCCCATTATTGTATTTTTGACTCCGTTATTTTATACTCTCCACCATATGTCAACCTTCTAAATTATACCTTATTCTCCCTTAATTTTTTTAATAATTTTTTTTTGAATAGATTATTCTTCCTTAATAAAAACGTGTCAAAATCTTTTGTAACTATTTTAAGTAAATAGAACACGAAATAAAAGAGATACAATTATTATAAAGATAATATATAAGATTATGAATAATATATATAGTTGTATAATAATACAAATATTTCAAAAAAAAAAAAGATTTAGACTAAAAAAGGAGGGGGGAGTTTTGGAGGGAAAAAACAGCACCAGAAAGTGACACGTGTCATTGCTGGTGTCTGTTTTAGTATTATGTTATTGATGATTAAGAGGAGGAACAAAATTCATCATCATAAACTTGACAATAACAAAGGCATGAAGATAAAACCTCCATATATATATTTATGATCAAAGTGTTGCAATTAGCAGACAAGTTTTTGTACAGTACCTTAGGGGTGAAAATGTCTTAACTTAAATGCCTAAAAATCTAAAAATATTGGCTTTATTATTTAGGTTAGCAAAACATATTTCATTCATAAGAATCTATTAACCTATACTAAAAGCAAATCCTTCCATGACACTTGTCATTACCTTGTGAAAAATTTTCCTGCCTTTTTTTTTTTTTTTTTTTTTTTGTAAAATCTTTAAGTAAACTATTTATACCTTATGTTTTCAATTTGATAATCATATTCCATATATTCCCAAATGAAATATTTCTGAATATCCTTTATATACTTTATATTTTGTAATATTATTGTCAAATATATTTAACAACCGTGCATTGCACGGGATTTTAACCTAGTTAGAAATAAAGGAAATAAATAATTACTCCAAATAAATTACCTTATAGGGTTAATATTTACTAATATCAAGAGATTACAAAAATTGAATACATTACATATTTCTTCATTTCTCCTTAATTATGCAGTTTATATGTATAATACAATACTAAGCATTTTGAATAAAGCATCTCTTATTAACAAAGTTTAGCTAAAACAATAGTCATCCTCAAACTCTCCGATATATCGACATGAAAGGTGGTGATTTTGTGTTTCTTCTACAAATTGTTGTTGTACTGTTATTGTATTTTCCCTTTGGAAGAGGAAGACAAATTGGGGGCTCAAATAGCATTGTCAAAACAATTAAGGTATACACATACATAATCTTTCCCATAATTTATGTTTATTATTCTTGGTTGAATTTAATTTATTAATGAAATGTTAATAAATCGTATAAGGCCTTAGGTATGTATAATTGTTACATACTAACTGTGTGTACAAAAATCTGTAATGCTTTCCTTGTTTTCTCCCCAATTTCTTAATAATAACAGATAGAACAAAAGAGAACGAAAGGAGTATAATAAATTAATTAAAAATAAAAAGAAAGTTATTAAAATTCTTTTCCCTCAAACCCAATATTCAAATTAATTTACTAATTTATTTGTTAGCGAAGTAAAATAATGAATATGGCATGGATATGACATTGACATATAGCTCTAATTTAAATCAAAGAACAAGAGATCTGAATGTCAAATACTCCCTAATTTAGTTGGTTACGGAATAATAATTACAGTATATCATAACCTTAATTGGGATAGATTAACTTCAATGTACAACATTTTCCGTTTGTAACATCCTTCACATTAAATGAACAAAAATTTGCTTAATAATTAAGAAAGTTATAATTCTTATTTCCCTTTTCAATTTAAGAATGCTCGAATATATATTAACCTTATTAAACCTAGCCTTTCCCATTTCTTTTGTTTCTTTTTTTGGGTGCAATAAAAATTTTGTTTCTAATATTAAAAAGTCACAATATACGTCAATATTGCTCAAATTACATTATTAACACATCTATAAACTCCAACGGTACAAAGTACTAATTCGCTACTTGTATATATGTATTAACTATTGAGTATTAAGATTTAATAAGAGACCTACTCTAGCTACTAACATATCCCTTTTCTAATTTATAGGTTTATGTATGTGCAGTGAATTATAAAATTGTACGTGCATGCAACAATGTTCTATATCTCTCAATTTAATTCCCTAAACTTGTTGTAGGTTGGAGATGAAGATATAATTGATTGTATTGACGTGCATAAGCAACTAGCTTTGACTCATCCATTACTTAAAAACCACAATATACAGGTGATTGTTTTTTTCTGGACATCATTGGTTTGGTTAAATTTTAGTCAATCTTTGATGATTTAATTACCTTTCTTCATCGGTTAGTTGCCTGTCAATACTTTATTGACCTATGAGAAATTCTGACCTATGAAGTGATGACATATGATGCTTGTGATTTGGCAGATGGAACCAAGAACGTATCCAAGTACGTTGAAATCAATGAACGAAACATTTGAGCTTAAACAATCTTGGCACAAGTATGGACGATGTCCATACGGTTCCATCCCTATTAGTCGAAAATACAGTGCTTATAACTCTAGCAATGTACAAAGAAAATCAGCATCACCTTTTGCAGAAGTATCACCAAATCTTATTAATATTCATAAGGTGATTATTCTTTATTTTCTTTCATTAATGCATTACAAATTTACTAGATAATTTGAGACAATCCGCTCTTAAATTACCTTACCCAAGCAACCTAATTCCCTCCACCCATGAGTAAAAGGTGGTGTAACTCCGACCACTTGAGCTACCCCTTGATTTCCTATATATACTCAGGGGTGGTTTTGAGCATGTGTAGGGTGGTCGATCGCACAGGGCTTCTAAGTGAAAATACTATAAAAGGGCCCTAATATTTGAAATTTACTTATACAGAGTAAAGAGATAACTTGTTAATCAATAATCTATTCTTCAATTTTATCATAAAATTTATAATTTAGTAAAATATTTTTCCTTGATTTTAGGCCCAATTTAACAAAATTGCACCAGGCCATTTTCAGTATTAGCATTTGTAGCCCCGCCTCTGTATATACTATTATAAGTTCATTACTAATCTTATTACATATCACACTGCACTATACAACATTTAAATGTACTACTAGTTATAATTTCCATATAGTACATATACTCATATAGCTAGTTTTTATACTCAGTAATACACAACATTTATAAGTATTATAGAATACTATTTTATCACATCACACTATGACCTTATGAGGAGGGCTTCCTACTGATTTATTCTATCACATCACATCACATCAATTTTATTACTAATAATATAGTTGATTGCGTGTTTTTTTTTTTTTTTTTTTTTTTTTTTTTTTTTTTTTTTTTATCATACTTTCAATTTGGGTCTGGTACAAGTATGCTATGATCCAAATAAAAGCAGGTGACGAACCTGGAAAGTTCAGAGGAGTGCATGGAGTTTTGAATGTATGGAACCCAGTTGTCAACCCTATAGGTCTAAGCCTTTCACAAATATGGGTCGTTTCAGGTGATGCTAATAATCTCAACACAATAGAGGCTGGTTGGCGGGTATGTATCACAACATCAATATTTTAGCTATAATACTTATACAAACATGTACGAAATACTTCTGATACCTGTTAATACGCGATCAATTCATTTTAAGAAAAAGTTATGTTAATAAGAATACTACCCTTAGTAAATTTTTATTTGAGTAACAACCTTTTCTACGACTAAAATTTATATTTGACTACGCACTAAAAATATGAACATTGTGTAGGTACACCCATCCGACAGTCAAAGTAGACCAAGGTTGTTCATATATTGGACGGTAAGTGGCTAATACAACTTTGTGTTCTAATTTACTTTAATTTTACAAGTAATTATATAACTTAAGTTTTTAAATGTTTGAATTATTAGAGAGATAACTACATGACTACGGGTTGCTATGACCTAACTTGTCCGGGATTTGTGCAAACGAACAAGGATTTTGCTGTTGGTGCATACATAGATTCCTCCTCTGTTTATGGCGGTATACAAAAATCGATTAACCTATACATATACCGGGTAATAGTTTTACACAGTTCTCGTAATTTTCTTTATCAAGTACTAATATTATGGGTAGTAGAAAAGTTTTAATCACAATTTATTGCCGATCACTAATATTTAAGGTCGGATGTTTAATTCACCTAATCTGATCTAATTTGAATTTTCCTAATTTGATCAAGTTTAATTTGATTATTTCTCCAAACTTTAACCTTATTCAGTATTTCAATTTGTAACATAAAATGTTATTAAATGAGATGTTATTAGATTCTTAATTTGCATTTCAAATATATAGTTTTTATAAATTTTTTAATTACGAAACTAAAGATATTTAATGATAAATAAACACAGTACATAAACATAGGATGGAGACCAAAGTAAAAAATTTATAATATAAGGTATAGTTGGCTTAGTGGTAGTGGAAGCGAGAGAGAAATAATACTACAACCGTTTCTTTATATTTGCAACAAATGAATTTTATATTTCTCACATAAAATACCTCTTTGTTGCAAATAAGAAAGAAATAGAGGTAGTATAAAATAATGGGATATACCAAATAATAGCAATCAATAATCATTAAAGAAACGAAACAGAAAAGAGTTACAAGTAATCGGAAACTAATGAAAAAGAAAATTGTTGCAATTAATTTGAAACGGGGGGAGTAGTTTGTGAGCTACCTTCACTAAGACTTCGTACTTAACAATGTTTTTTTTTTTTTTTTTCAAAATTTTCAAAAGCATCCGGCTTGAAATCAGCTCTAATACATGTATGGAGCACTTAAAAATTAAAAAAAAAAAAAAGTATTTTAAAACAAATGAACTAGTCTGTACTTCAAAAGAAATTACTCCCTCCGTCTCTTGGGCTTTGTCCCTCTTTTTAATGAGAATGTATACCTTGGTCATAAAACCAAGACAATTTCCATTAATTTTTACGAGTACTAAAATATTCAAAACAATTTATTATGCACGTGAAATCTTTTTAGAATTATCATTTTAAAAAATTCAGATTTTCGCGATATCTTTGTAATAGGATTCATCAACAAAAGATTGGTGGTTAACTTATGGTGGCAAAGCTATGGGATATTGGCCAGCTTCCCTATTCACAAGCATGACAGACAAAGGTGGTGATATAGTAGCATGGGGTGGAGAAGTCGCAGATGAAATGGCGCAAGGTAACAACACTATTACACAAATGGGCAGTGGACATTTCTCTAATGAAGGTTTTGGTAAATCATGTTATATTCGTGATTTATTCTATGTTGATTATGCTGATAATAACTTCAAAGAAGTTCATCCTAAACAAGAGGATTTTGAAGTCCTTACATCTGTGCCGAAATGTTATGATAGTAGATTTGTCCAGAATGCTGAGCTTAGATTCTATTTTGGAGGTCCTGGATGTCAACCAACATAATCAGGTCATGTACTAAAACGTGTCATTCATTGACTTCCTGTTTATATATGTTGATGTTTTGAAATAAAAAGTTACTACTGTACGTAGTCCAGTATCGCTATTTTGTACTGGTTAGAAAATGATAAAATAGTAATATTATATATATTACTCCATATTTGAAATAAAGTTCTAGTTTAGGACTTCAAAATCAACATTATTGCTCCAATATTGAAATAAACTCCATATTTGAAATAACAATATACCATTAGTACATGCATGTGCCCCAATATGCCATAAAACTGGAGACCCTATCAAACACAAATAATACCTTGTCTTTTGAAGGAGTTCGAAAAACCTTTTCTTTCGAAGGAAATCGAAAAAATCTTATCTTTCGGAGGAGATAAAATTTCTTTCGAGGGAGACATTATTATAAACTAAGAATTAAAAGAAACAAACAATTGGGGCTTTCCACCGGTGAAATTTGATGAAAGCCCCTTTAAAATTTACAATGGAGGCTAAAGTTTAGAAGAGAGAAAGGAGGCTAGCATGTTCGAAAAATTTTAATCTCCATGCAATTAAGAGTTTTCTTAGAATATTATACAAAATTAGATTACAAATAATTGAGAGGGCTTAAAACTTTAAAAACAAATAAATGCAATCGTGTGAGAAAACATTATTAATTAAAAACATGTAACACTTGTGCGGATACGCTGCCTCGCACACATCATCACGTGTATATTGGGCTAGTACAACTATAAGCAAGGAAAATAACCCTTAATGACACTTAAGTTGCACCATGAGTCCATGATCCATGCATCATCATACTTGCATAGAAGGTAGCTTCGTATGGGACTTGTTACTGTATGTTGGGACGACATCGATAAAATTGTAGCACACTAGCACATGTGACAGTTGGTTCTTCCTTCAAAATTTAAGAATTTGAAAGCAATATTGGCCCATAGCCGTACGGATTACTCCATCAAGTCTATACATAAGTACATAGCCTAACATCAAGAGACATAAATGACAATCATGATTATTATTGATGATGTGATGAAACGAGCCCCATTAAGCTAACACGAACCAACCAAAAGAAAAAAAAAAAAAAGACATGAGAAGGAATTTTCGACACAATCTCATTTATTCACGAATAGGATTCTACATCTTTGGTTGTAGTTTTCTATGGAAATTGTGATTATATCTTAGAGTTTTCTCATTTAATCATTATCACAAATTTTTATGTGGCTCACCGTGTGATCGGAGTTACTTATTTTGAGGTTACTAAGTTAGTTAGGGGTTACTTATTTATGGGTTACTCGATTGTTCAAGAGATACTTATTCAGGGGTTACTCGGTTGGTCAGGGGTTACTTATAGAGCCGGGGTTACTTGTTCATAGGTTACCCAGTCGGTCAGGGATAATCTCACATAGAAAACGCGTTAACCGACTAAGTAAATTCAAAATAAGTAACCCCTAAAAAAATATTCCCGGCGAAAACGCGCTAACCGACTGTGTAACCCAAGAATAACTAACCTTTGACCGACTGAGTAATAAGTAACCCCTGAATAAATAACCCGTATAAGTAACCCCTATAAGTAACATCGGTTTCACAGTGTGCTGGCCACATTGTGTGGCCAGCCACACAGAAAAAGCTATCAATCATTACTATTATACTACCACCGTTTCTTACTTTTGCAACAGAAATGTGACCTAAAATAAACCTTTGTTGCAAAAAATTTAAAAAAAAAAACAAAAAACGGTGGTAATAGTAAAATTTTGTTTCTAGTAAAGGTGAGAGTGTGCTGTTGTCAAAATAAAAAATATTAAAAAAAAAGTGTGTAAAAGAAAGGGGCTATAAGTAGGGGTGCTTATGAGGCGAGATAACTCGCGAGCTACTTGAGTTCGACTCGGTCAAAACTCGACTCGAGCTCGAGATTGACTCGAAATGTTAATGAGTCGAGTCGACTAGCTCATTACTCGACTCGAAAGCTTGTAAGAAGCTCGAATTCCTTTATATAATATTATATTTACTAATAATTAAAACGTTTTGATTAAAAAAAAAACTTTATGTTAGTTACATTAATAATTAATAAATACACATTATTTATATACTCGTATCATCATATGTGTATTTCTCAAATGACAAAATTAAAGAGAATGAAGAGATGTTACACTAAATAGAGAGTTCTACTAACACGGATCAAGTTGCAAGCTACTCGAGATCGACTCGGTCAAATTTGGTCAAAGCTCGACTCTGTCAAAGCTCGGTTAAACCTCGACTTGATTAAGCTCGGCTCGATGTGTTAACGAGTCGAGTTGAGCTACCCCAAACTTGAACTCGACTCGCATCATAAGCACCCCTACTTATAAGTAATCGAATGTTTTCATAAAAAAAAAGGTTGAAGATGAAAAAGAAAAAAAGTAAATAAGTTCATGCTTTGTTTGTGTTGAAGTAAAACATTATCTTAAAAAATCAATTTTTTTAAAAGAATCTTAAAAAAAAATAAAAAAATAAAAAATCATTTATTCAATTTATTAAAGGCCAAAAAACATTTTTATTTTCAAAAGTGAAAGATAGATTTTTTTTGTAGAGTAGATAACATATTCCTTTTGAGATGAAGGAATGTCACATGTTCCTTTTAAAGGCGAAAAACATTTTTATTTTCAAAAGTGAAAGATTGATTTTTTTGTAGAGTAGAAAATATATTCCTTTTGAAATGAAGGAATGTCACATGTTCCTTCTTACTACCAAAATTTTTTCTTCACGAGAGTGATGGATAGCTCAAGTGGTTAGAGCTTCCCTCTCAGTTCCAGGTGATTCTGGGATCAATTCTCATCACTCGCCCTTGTTGCTCTCTACACATAAAAAAAAAAAACCCTTTTCTTCACTTCCTTTCAACTCCTAATTTACCTTTTTCTCTTGATAATTTCTTTACAATTGTGTTTACTCTTGAAAGTCATCTTTAGTGAATAATATATAATTATGTTATATTTTCCGTCAAAACAAATAAAGCCTATAATAAGATAAGTGGTTAGCCAAAAATAACTTAAAATAGAAATAGGTACATGTACAAAATTAAATAAATAACATAGAGTACGATGGAGCAGTTTATTATTAATCCACTATTTATGTTATACTCCGTAATTGCTTGAAAGAGGATTCCACTTCTTTGGTTGTAATTCCTAATTCTTAACGAACATGTTCGAAAATATTTAGTATAAAGATTCTTCAAACTCCACCACTTTAATTTGTATTTGTATATTGGATATGAATATATGATTGCTATTTAAAAATTACAATACTTTTTAATAGACACCCTTTATAAAGTACTAATGACTCAATGTTGTCCTCTAAAATTGTCTTATAAGGAATTAAAGTCCCTTTGTGAAAAATGTTGTAGCAGCTCATGTAGTCATGTTTACATGTCTAACCAAATAAATCAAGGAGTTTTGGTATAATTACTAGAATGCTCATCCACAAATACGCTAGTTGTACGTCATTCTTTACACTAATTAAACTGATACTTATTGATGATTGAAATTTTATGCAATATAATGACAATTTGACAAATTGTTGTTAATATTAATACTATTTCCACAATTATGATACTCTCTTTAGTTTGTTTGCACTTGGTTTTCTGCAAAATTTTCAATGTATATTTGATTCATCAATGTCATTACATATGGATCATATATAATTATGAAAAGCTAATATTTGGAATTTAAGTACTCCGTACAAAGCAGGGTTGTGCAATTGGGATATCAAATCCAATCGGATCCCAAATTTCGAATTATTGACTTTTCAAATCCAAACAGATTTAATTTGTAATTAGTTGACTTTTAGATATATTTGGAATTGGAATTGTAATTAGATCAATCCACACCCGACTTAAAAACCTAAAATTTTTCCGAACATTTAATTTCAAATATCCAAAACTGTAAAACCAAATCAGATATTTGAAATTTCTGCCCAATCGAAACAATTCAAACAAATCAAAAAATTTGCATAACCTTTTTTTTTTTTTTTTTTTTTTAGGAAAAATATTTGCATAAACTTAGCACAAAGTGAAGCCAATCAAACAAAATTGATATTAATTTGAACTATTTGCTTGATGACATAGTACTCCGTATTATATACATTAAATTATTGGAATCTATAAAGGGCAAACAACTTACAAAAAATGGATGAAATTGTTAAAATATCGTTTTTTGCTTTGCTAATTGCCTTTTGCTTAATAATTACTCCATTCATCCCAAAATAATTGAAAAACACTTCTTTTTTTTTTTAATCAACTTTGAGCATCTTTTATTGTTATTACGTATTCTGTAGTATATAAAATAAAATTAATAAAACTTGGCATTCTAATAATACAAATTAAAATAAATCCAACAACTTACTTTATTATCAATAATTAATTTTATATAATTGCAAAAAAATAAATGGTCAAAGTTGATAAAAAAAAGTCAAGTGTCCCGACTAGGACAGAGGAAGTATGTCGTTAGCTATATTCTTATCAAATACTGTAGCTATTTTAAACTTAAACCATCTAGTGTTGACTCAACTCAAAGTAAAACGGAATTGATCATACTCAACCAGAGCATCATTATGTCAATTAAATCCGAACAACCTGTTTGTCACCTCTATGAAACAACACCGTTAAGTATCCCACAATGCAAAAGACTGCGGTGCAATAATTAACAGAAGAGGATCAATGATTAGACAAAGGACAAGTTGCACAGAAACACAAGTTGATCTTGCAAAATTGACTTAGATTATTACAACCATATATTTTAATACAACCATATTTATTTTCCCTTTAGATGAGCAGAAATACAAATTAACACTTTAATTAAACAAAATAAAAACAAGAAAAAAGAGTGAGATTTGACAAAAAAGTGATTCTAGCCACGCAATTCGAACGTGTCTTCCTCTTTCTCTCTCCACTCAAAACCCAACCAACATTCAGCATTCAGCATCAATATAGTGCGCCATCTGCTGATGCATCACTCAACCCCACTGAC